ACTTATATAGAAGCACGGCATTTACCATTTTTCCTCTTCAATCGATTTTTTACAGTAACTATATAATTAGAGGAATAGAAAAATTGTAGAATAAGGAGCTTGTTGCACCCGCAAAGTGGGTATATGCACGCAAATACATAGAATTTTAATAAAACGTTTCCAGTGGTGCGTTCAAGAAAATCCGAACGATGGAATGTCCGATTACTTAACAGTGTTTCGTTCAATTCGCTGCTACGAGCTCTTTAATTTTCCTTTTTCTGTATAAAGCCCATGGAATGACTCCCATAAATGGAAATCTTAGGAAATTAGACTTTGATCACCGGTTAATGATTGACAACAATGTTTAGCGACATTTTTGTGTGCATCAAAACATTGAAATACAACTTGAATATTTTTAATGTGATAGAATAAATAGAGCAGAGTTCTGCAACGATAAATCAAACGTCGAATATAAAATTGTCATGAGTCAGCAACTTATGCATTCAAATGCGAGACCTCGGATATCTTTCATTTGTTCATGAAAAAATAGAGCATGATTTATGTTTCTAGGTCGTTTTTAATCAACGCCTCGCAAAATGGTGGTGCAAAATGCGGTTATTGTTAGGAATGCCGTGAAACGATATGGAACCGAAAACCAGATCCTGAACGGTTTAAACTTAACCGTCCCTAAAGGTTGCATGTGCGTAAAATACTTAACATTTTGTTAAATAGAATTTGTCATCTTCATTAAGCTTTCATTTTTTAATTGACAATCGATCTTAATTATTTTATCCTTGAATAGAGCTTATTATTTCAAATATTGGTGCACAGATATGGTTTACTGGGTTCAAGTGGCTGCGGCAAAACCACTTTGCTCTCCACTGTGGTAGGCGTACGGAAATTGGACAGCGGTGATATATGGGTGCTGGGTGGCAAACCAGGAACAGAAAATTCAGGGATTCCAGGTCCTCGAGTCGGTTACATGCCGCAGGACGTGTCACTGGTCCAAGAATTCTCTGTAATCGGCGCCTTTTACTTCTTTGGCAGAATCAACGGTCTCGATGACTACACGATCGGTAATCACCCTCACCCCTTTCACAACTTTTATTAAAAAATGTGAATGGATAAAAAAATTTCGTTTTTCTACTCATGGAAGTTTTAAAATGCTTTTGAATGTTCGTTTTAGAGGAGAGGTTTGTGTTGTTGAAGGACTTGCTTCAGCTACCGACCAGGAATCGTTTGATAAAACACTTGAGCGGCGGCCAACAGAGAAGAGTGTCCTTCGGGGCAGCGTTGCTTCACAAACCCGAGCTCTTGATCCTTGACGAGCCCACCGTCGGTTTGGATCCGGTTTTAAGGGACAAGCAAGTATAATTTCATTTCCTTACTCCTTTTTGTAGACGCGAGCCACAGGAGAATAGCGTAAACGTGAATTCCGTGTTTGCATGTAGCATTTGGAATTATTTAGTGAAGATCACGCGAGAGGAAGATATTACGGTTATCATTACTACGCACTATATCGAGGAAGCGAAGCAGGCAGACAAGGTAAATCGTAGTCAATTACTATCGTTTAATTCTACTTGATGTCGATATTTGCATGAGGGTATTTATTTCTTATGTAAGACTTTACAGAAGACAATATTTTTCTTTATACATATTTAACAACTGTGCTTATGCTTTTCCAGAAAATGGATAATCGCATAAAGTGTGAATGTAAACTATGTGAAATATCATATATTTTGTACAATTCCTTATCGAAGTTCTTTTTTTAGAATCATATCAAAATTATGAATTTTAATAAAGATCCGTAGCCTAATAATAATTAATGCTTATCTATTTTTATTACTCAATATAGTAAGATATTCTATATATAGAATAGTTAACAGAAATAGTCTGATGTTATTAGATTGGATTAATGAGAGGCGGCCTGCTATTAGCTGAATCATCACCGAACGATTTATTGGAGCGATTTCAAACCGATTCGCTCGAAGAGGCATTCTTGCAACTGAGTCAAATGCAGAACGACCACAGGACGATTCCCTCAATCGGGATCAACGACATCAGCATGGATTCCCTTTATAATGACTGCCCGACCAAGGTTTTTCTTTCTTCTAAATCTTATCTCAGTTTTAAGTGCATCGTCATTACTCAGATTTTTCATGTCCTTTAAATAGCTACTAGCTTGGAAATAATTAGATCAAGACTAACAAGTTTGATCAGTGCTAGTAGCCAGTTATTGTTAGATGTAATAAAAAAAAAGAACAAATGATTAAAGATTTCCTGTAATTTAAGCACGTATATAAATTACTTATTAACATTTTGATTAAGTTGATGACAACGCATGTGTCGCGTTCTGATCNCGTTGTGATGCAAATCTTATTCGACTGGAATACACTGAGTAAGAAACTAATGCAGCGATCAATTTTCCTCTACCATTACTCTCGAGACAAATACAGGTATAAAAAACGTATGAATTAAGTTTTTTAACTCTATGATCGTTTTATGCTTAAACGAAAGTTTACGATCGTTTAAAAAAAAAACTGCTTAGAATACTGAGAAATAAATTCACTTTAATTCAATTATCATACAATTCGATACCTTTTCATGCATCACATATATCACGTGTATTAATTAAAGTGCCAGCGATCTGTCCGAAAGTGAACAGCGACAATTTCTAGTTTTTATTTTCCGTTTGTCAACAAGATCTATCACCATCTCATCATATTTTTCAAGATTTCTCATTTTCATCAGTTTGAAATTCTCTGGTTTTGAACTGATTTCCTTTTTGCCATTTTCGAAACAAATAAGTTCAGATCGATTACTATCATTATTGTTATTATTATTATTATTATTATTATTATTATTATTATTATCAAAACTGATGTATTTATTCGAAGATCAATAATACAGATGCGAGCTACTCGAGTGAACACAATTCTTGATCAACTTCCTGAAACTTCTTATTATGCATTATTTACATTCTTGTTTAATAACAAACAAACTGTGGATCTTTATGCAAAATGTTATGACATCAGTCAAGAATTGCATTTTAAATAGAAATTTTTTTATTAATTCAGTTATCTTGATGTTTCTTGTGGTTTTTTATGCACCACGTGTCGTGCTTATATTTTTCGCGCATATAATTTTCTTACAAATACATGAAAGTACACATGAAGTCTAACAAATTCATTTTTCAGAGCCACTGGCAACTGCGTAGTAGCAGGAAGAAGAAGTGTCAGGCTTTACTCGTTAAAAATATGCTTCAATTCGTGCGTCATCCAGGGTAAACAAGAATACTAATAATGATAATTAGCGAGAGGAGTGGGTGCGTATTGATAATGCATGATTCCTTTCCCAGGGGAGTATTGTTCTCGCTTGTACTACCAGTATTACAAATGATACTATTCTTCTACGCGATCGGTCGCGACCCGAAGGGACTGTCTTTATCTATAATAAACGACGAGGCGCATAATTGTGATTACGGTAGATACCGAGGCAATATTACTTACGATGAGAATGATCTAACATGCAGCTTCGTCGACATTAGCTGCAAATTCATACACGGAATAAACAGTTCTGTCTTCAAGAAGGTATGTAAATAAGTTCCAACTATAATTTCATGGAGCTTAGGAGCTCATAATAATCATTGCCCATTTTAATAAAAAGGGTTTAGTGCGTCTTATGATATTCATTTTTTATATGAATATTCTAATTGCTTGGAGATGGAATATTCTCCTATAGAACTGATAAATATTTCTTAACTTATGCCAGGAGTATTACGATACCTTCGATGAAGCAGTGCGGGAAATTCCAAGGGTTAAAAGCGCCGGCACAGTACAGTTCCATAAGAATTTCTCGTACAGCTTGGAAGACAGGATATTAAATTTCATTGATATGGTCGATGAATTTATAGTTAGCAGTCAGATCGTTGTTACCTTGTACAGCCCAGGTATGTAAATTTAAAATGTGATTCAATTTCAAATTCATATTTCTGAACGATATGATTACCACCATTGCAACTTTTTTCCTTGTCTCGTTGAATGTGAATAAAAAAGGAAATTACTGGTTTATTTTTCTAACAAAGTGATTTTTCAATGTTTTTTGCAGACAGACAAATTGCCTTGTTTACGCAGAAGCAACTGCAAGACAGTTTTAGCGACGTATACGAGGAGATCATGAAAGAATGTAGAATTTCTCCAAAATACATCCGTACACCAATACGTGTCCGTATTTAATGAGATGAACATTTATAAGAAACATACATAAAGAACATAAATATTTTTCTCTTTTGATGTTTCAGTACGAGGAGGCAATTTATGGCACCAACGATCAATCTTACGTATCTTTCGTTTATCCAGCATTCATGTTATCGTAAGTATTAGTAGTATTCTGAATTATCAGTCCTCTAACATATTTTTAAATTATTTAAACACTCTTAATACTCTGCAGAACTTTGTTCGTTTTGGCAACGTCAATTTCTTCAAGTATAATTATAACAGATCGTAATTCTGGTGTATGGGACCGAGCCCTAGTTCAAGGTAAGTTTTTTAAACATCATTAATAACTTATTTGCCTATTATATAATTCTGCCTACTCACCGAGCTAATATTATAGATTTATTAACGTAGTAGCATTGCCGAAGATCTGAATTACTATTAACGATTATGCAACAATTCTCTGATAATTTATCCACATTTATTATAATATATTTTATATGTTCGTTTAGTGTATAAAATGATTTACAGAAAGATGATTTCAACTTAATTTTAACTTTAACTTTATTAATGGGTAGAGCCTTTCTTGCTACATAAATAACAATAATTAATACAGTTCTGTGCGTCAGAAAAACAAAAAATAAAATAAGGCATCAGAATAATAATAATTTTAATAGAAATTTTAAACAAATTTAATTAGTATATTCATAAATATTAAATAGAAATATTATAGATTAATAATTAATTTATCCGTATAATGTATGGAAATAGGTGTGACGACAAATGAGATTTTAGTTACCCATCTGATATCGCAGCTCATGATAATTGTTATTCAAGTGTCGACTGCATTATGCATATGCTTCCTGCACTTCGAAGTGGAGTGCAAGGGTTCAATGACCGCCGTAATTTGGCTGACCCTGCTCGAAGGAATCTGCGGAATGATGTTCGGTAAGCGTGCGGATTAATTCGCGAACACGCGTGTCAGAAATTACATAATCAAACTCGAATGTGAGTTGATATCACGAGAACAATCATTCGCAGGTTTCTTAATATCAGTGCTGTTCACCTCGCATACTCTGGTCAATTATGCATCGTCTGGCAGTTTTTATCCGTTGATACTTCTTTGCGGTAAGATTCAAGGTAAGTTTTTTAAACATCATTAATAACTTATTTGCCTATTATATAATTCTGCCTACTCACCGAGCTAATATTATAGATTTATTAACGTAGTAGCATTGCCGAAGATCTGAATTACTATTAACGATTATGCAACAATTCTCTGATAATTTATCCACATTTATTATAATATATTTTATATGTTCGTTTAGTGTATAAAATGATTTACAGAAAGATGATTTCAACTTAATTTTAACTTTAACTTTATTAATGGGTAGAGCCTTTCTTGCTACATAAATAACAATAATTAATACAGTTCTGTGCGTCAGAAAAACAAAAAATAAAATAAGGCATCAGAATAATAATAATTTTAATAGAAATTTTAAACAAATTTAATTAGTATATTCATAAATATTAAATAGAAATATTATAGATTAATAATTAATTTATTCGTATAATGTATGGAAATAGGTGTGACGACAAATGAGATTTTAGTTACCCATCTGATATCGCAGCTCATGATAATTGTTATTCAAGTGTCGACTGCATTATGCATATGCTTCCTGCACTTCGAAGTGGAGTGCAAGGGTTCAATGACCGCCGTAATTTGGCTGACCCTGCTCGAAGGAATCTGCGGAATGATGTTCGGTAAGCGTGCGGATTAATTCGCGAACACGCGTGTCAGAAATTACATAATCAAACTCGAATGTGAGTTGATATCACGAGAACAATCATTCGCAGGTTTCTTAATATCAGTGCTGTTCACCTCGCATACTCTGGTCAATTATGCATCGTCTGGCAGTTTTTATCCGTTGATACTTCTTTGCGGTAAGCATTTAAATAATTAACTATTGGCGTGACGTGCAAATAAGTATTACTGGTTTATCTTATTCAATGATTAATCGATATTTTGTTTGGCACATGAATGCGCTATGCGTTAAGTAAAAGATTAACGTATTCGTAGATTAGATTAGACAGAGGGGTAACAGTATATCATGAGTTTTGATGATTTTAAGGAATAATTTGGCCGATTGAGGGAATACCGAAGTTTCTCCGATGGTTCAGTCTGTTTCTACCGTTGACGATACCAGGGAACTCCCTCAGAGGAATCCTGCAAAAGGGGAACACCGTGGACGAACCGGAAGTGTACATAGGATTCATAATAGTGACCGTATGGATCGCGAGTTTAGTGTTGATTTGCCTGTACCAATTGAAGACAAAGTAAAAGTGAAAGAAAGTAAGCGAACACTTAATCAATAAGAAGAAAACCACGGTGCAATAATTAAAGAAAAAAAATTATGTTTCCCATGACAAGTATCACAGGGTTAAATTCATCTGCTGTTAATTAGTTAGCAAAGGGTTAATAGTTACGGGGAATCGCGTTTTTATACAAAATGATTGTAAAGCGTCGTTTCGATGTTAGCCGATAAGGAATCTAATTTTAATTTAAACAGCGGGTCGCGTATCGAGAGTCGAAGCTGCGTTTGTGATAAAACTTGTTCTTATTGCGATCTTCGTTATTACACGTGCAAAGTATGTACCTACTATTTCGATTTAGGTTTTATCTTAGTTTTTTTCACTGTGTTATAATATGTTGTGCGAATTGTAAGAATAGAGCGAGTTACTGATTGTTGATAGATACGTAAGGAAAGGAATGTTCTTTCAACGACCTGTGCATGTAAAACAGCACGCCTTGTCAGTGTGAAGAAACGCATTTTAAAAAATGTATTTTTTTTTTACTAGTTACTAATTCTTCGATGTTTTTAACTGGTAAAAACTTGTGTTGAGTGGTATGTGTCGGGATTCGTGTCGTTTTACTTTACAAGCACAGACATTACCTCATACTTTTGTTCTTTCGCGAAGCTTTCCGTTTCTACAGTTCTGGGATCACATCCAATAAGTCCAGATCGAAGCTCGATCTATAAAAACGTGATTATCAGACAGTGATCCTACCATGCGACCAGCGTTCGATGACGGGTATTTAAATTAAACACATTGTAAATAGGTAGACGGAACAATAAAATATAGGAAGATGGAACGATTAAATGATGGAATATGCACAGATTTTGGCATCGATTAATTATAATTCTTTCATTTCCGATTTATTTACCTTCTCTTACACATTTTTTTGTCATAGTATACAAACATATACAACGTGCGAACTATACGTGTGTATCTTTATGCATTTTTTTTTCTTTTCCGTAACTCGTTCTTAGGCTGCAGTATATTTATAGATAATTCTACTGGGATACGTCACATCGACCATCGATTCTGGAACGATTCGGCGAAACGAATGGAAAGTAGTGGATGTAGCGAGGAAGAAAACTTAGAAAGGAAATAGTCGAGTCGATACAATTCAAGTTAATATAAATTCAACGATTGTTCTTTCGTCGGTTATGGTTCACCGAAACCATTTCATTGACACCAAGTAAAATATTATCGATGATTCCATAATGCGTTTATCTTTTCGACATTTACAGCCGTTTTTAGCGAACAAGTCTTTTGAATAGAATATTTAAAAGAATGTATGCATCGATTAAGCTTTGTACTCCAAAGATTCAAGATCTGTGTTACATAAATTATTTTCATTCAATAATAAATTTATGATACCCAGTTTGTTAGAAACTTTAGTGTTAAAAAGTTAGTTAAAAATACGTGCAGCGACAAAATCCTTTTCTGGCTTGACGAGAAATACGTCGATCGAGTTTGTCAAGTTCGCAGCCAATTTGCTCTGAAATTTTTTAATTACACTCTGGAAGAACTCGTCAGATTTTTTTTTACACAAAGATCCACTTCAACTTTTAATTACACTCGTGCCAACTTCCGTTGCGACGGGTTGTTAACACTTTCAAAGATCCCCGCTGTCGTTACAGAATCTATCGTTGCGTATGAAAAAATTTTTTCCGATACCAAAGAGTTTTTATATTAAAATCAATTTAAAGTGAAGTCGTAATTTAATTCCGACAGTATAGTAAAGAAGGGGGAACGTAAATCCTTGGAGTGCAAAGTTTGAGTATGAAAACAGAGAAATAAAATCATTTTGCAATCTAAGTATTTGTAGCCTTTATAATTTGTTAAATCAGAAATTTAGTGAAAGTAGAAAAAGTTTAAAAAATATGGATGATTCGCTAAACACGTCAAATTCATTTTTGCGCTTCCGCAAATTCAAACACTCCGTTCTCTCTCACTCATACTCTATCATCCTTCATATTTTGCCAATGTATACAAAATATGTAACTGGTTATTTTGATTTTCCGTTATATAAATCTGCCCTCGTATCGAGAAGCTAAAATCTGAAATCTCTTTTCTTTTGGCTTGCAACATCGACATATTTTGCAGAACCATACAAAAATAGTAGTTGCTTCTAATTTAAATAAATTGGTTGTATCCATATTGTCCTAAAAAATAAATCCGTAATTTTCAACATGGAACTGTCCGCAATTTTTATTTCGACATTAAATTTCAAAAATCACTGACTGAGAATCATAGCGATACAAGTGAATATTTTAAACTATCCAATTAAATGTTATCCAATATTTAAACAATATCATTTCATTAGTTCCAAATATAAATCAATTTTTTAATTTCCTGCACGTTTAGGTATCTCAGAAAATAATTGAAATTTGAAACTCTGTAACTTCGAAAAACATGATTCCTTTTTATAGTCAGAACTCGGACCACACAAATAATCATAGATTATTATATGTTACGTCGCTGTGATTCTCGGCCTGTCAACTGAGCCTATAATTTTGAAGCTGATTATTTAACCGCGTGACCATTGATTTATTTCCGAAACGACATTAAAAATTGGCCGAAACCAGTAAATACCAAAGCATGCGTCGTAATCAATGTGTCATTAACACAAACGTAATTAGACGCCATCGAAGAGACGATGCAATACCTACTGCGATTAGGATTGTCGCGAACATTGCGAAATGGTAATAGTAGACACGCAGTCTATGACAAATGATAGAAGCGATAAACGTTATTCGCGTAAGAAAGTATAAATACCGTTAATAATAACGAGCTTAAATATAATCTTGGTATTACAAAGCACTTGGTTAAAAATTGGTCGAAATTAGATTGAGCTCGGAGTAGAATATCGCTTTTAAAACTGTAGCACATTTAATATGTTTAACAAATGCCCAAGGCTCATAGAAATTTAATTAATCATTTTAATTATTTGTTTCTGAGCTTCGCTTTGTACATTCGCCAGCCCAAAAACGAAATTTGCAATCAGTAACGTACCAGATATTAAGTTCCGTTTTTGATTAATAGTTGAATAATGTTTCTGGACAAGCTTCTGAGTATTTGCAACAATAAGATTGGAATTAGTTTAGAAATCCACACGGTTGGAAATTTATACATTAATACAAACTTTTATATTTGTATTTGCAAGATTTTCTTAGCTCTCATCAGTTATGAAATGCGAATGTTAAAAGGATAGGATAATCTTTTGATAGCAAATAGTGCTGAGGAAGCAATATCCCAAGAAATAATAATAAAATTCTATTCTACAATATCTCATTGTTATTTATTAGATAAATACGATTCCGACGTCAAAACACTTAAAGCTCAATTCAGGTACGAGTCTTTTTTAAGGATTACAAAAATAAGAAAAAAATGTTCCTTACCTAAGTACACAGAATAGCCTGTATTCTTCACTGTTTGAAACATGAAACAATTACCTAATAAAATATTCAAACTTAATATAAAATTATATAACAAAATACTTAATAACAAAACTCTGAATGATTCGAGTAACTCTTTCACTCTCGCAATAAGATAAAAAATTATAAAATAAATTAATTTCATCAGTCCTACTGGTTTCTTCTGAACGAATATGAAATACAAATTATTATAGTTTCACCTGAGAATTAACGAAAGCCCGATCGAGATGGTTGCGATTCAAAATTGATGTTCGATACATGAATGCCGGGATTGAAAATAAATCCGTCAAGCCTCCCCAGCACTGTCGGGCAAATAAAGGGAAGAGAGAAACGCATGTACGTAAATCCTAGTCGCGGCCGGTCGCGCAACCGAACGGAACGTTATATAGACACGCAAATACTAAAGCTCTGAATGTTCACGTAGTAGGCGTGTACGGTTCTTGTTGTTGTTGATGTAGCTGTTGATGTTGTTGCTGTTAGCCGTGCTACTAACGCGACTCGGGCCGTTACTACCGCGATTGTTAGTAGCAGTATTAGTACGTATAGCAGTAAGGCATGGGCCGCATCGGATTGGCATGGGTCGAGCAGCAACGAGACAGTCAACTATCTGTCTTACAGTAGGCATGCAGGTTTTGCTGTACCCTGGAAAACACATATCACATGCCCCATCAGAACCGAACCACGCATCGACTTCTATCACGCCATCGGAATTTCATTTTATCGCTTGTCTCTCGTCTCGTTTCTCTTTCTTCCCTTAAACGTACGACGTCTGCTTCGAACGTGAGAAAAAAATTGAGAAAGAGGCTGGAACTTGATTGCCTTTGAACACGTTCACATACGAATCTGTCAGAGTCGATCGAACTCGACTCACGATTTGAACAGGGGATCTGAGAAGTTTCTCTGGGACACTTAAGATCGATTCGGAGATGTGATTTTAGATTCGAAACGAAAGCTGGAAGACTCAAGATTTTCTGAAGACTCGAAGTGAAGTAAAATTGTGTGGCATATGGAAGGCAGACAGGATTCTCTATTTTAATTTGCATTAATCAAATCCTTCTTAGATCATCCCTGGATCTTAGACATGAATCTTTGGCATTGGTACATGGTAATTACACTAATATCACAAACACTTTTCTACTGCATAAACTACATTAATACTAATATCAACTTGTAATCTGACTTAAACTCTACTTGTTTTCTCAATTCGTAACTGTGCGAAACATTCGGCTACACTACTAATCGAATGCAGCGTGAGTTCCTCGTTTCTCTTTCTACAATTTTTCAAAACGCTTTTTGGCACGAACACTGAACCAAGAAATAAGATCAGTTAAAGACAGGAAGATCTGAAGATTATTATTGGACAGAGCGATTGCATGATAGAAGTCGTGATGGTCAAACACATTTCACATGTCTCACGAAATAATCGAAAAGTACAGACAACAAAGAAACGAACGATACAGGAATATAGAAAAAAGAAGCGGAGTCGGTCCAAAAAGATACAAGGCCGGCCTAAAGCCGTTTCCTTTTTTTCTAATCGTACTCAGGAAGCACTTCTCTAGTGAATTAACCCTTTGCGGTCGAAGGCCGGTATCATTCCAGGTAACACTCTGATATAATCATTTACGATTCTTCGCATCCCGATAAAAATAAATAGAGAGACGTATCTTTTCTAAAAATATATGAATAAATAATTGCGATCTCATTCATTTTTATATTATATACGATTAATGAGTTGCGTCCCCAAAGGGTTAAACAGTGAATACCGTCAGCTTGAGCATTTTTTCGCCACCCTCGTCTATCTACGTTACAATACAAATAACAAGAAGAGCGGAACGTAGTTTGCTCGGTACGGACAGGGGTATTACAAAAATTAGGCTTGCGTATTAATACTAACAAAAAGGGTCGTGATCAAAAGAGGGGTGGTAGTGTTCGAAAAAAAAGGTCACTTAACTAACGATGAAAGTTTGAAAACACGATCGACCTCGAGTTTTATTCTTAATAAAAAAATCTGTGCTCTCTCACAAACGTTAAGATTAGACTCCTTCGATTTCATGAACCGTTTTCAAACTTTATCTACTTGTGAGGGGAAACAGATGAAAAAAAGTCGTTTCATTCGCAAAGATAGTGGCTCGCCGAAAATTACTGGCAAAATGGAAATTAGGCACTATTAAAAATACAGGTACGCTTAAAAAGCTCAGCGGTTATACCAAAACGAAATATTCATTTCCATTGCACCTAAACGTTGCGATTAAGCCCTGCGAATCCTTGTTAGGACACTTTCAGGCTTTATAGTTTTCTAAGTGGAAGGAAACGAAATATCAAGGTATTACTTTAAATAGAATCTTCTATCTATATTCTCTATCATTCAACAAGCGGTATGATCACAGTTAGATGCAGTGGAGTTCGTCGACGCGGTCAGAAAATATTCGTAAAAAGATAGCAAAGACGATCGTTGGATTTCTCAAAGCGAGTCTTACGACAAAGATAGGCGCATGTCACCGTGCAAACAAGATACAAAGAAAATATGAAAAAGGAAGGAGAGGCAAAGAGAAATAGAGAGAGAGAGATAGAAAGAGAAGAAGAAAGACTAAATAGGAAACTGCGCTTGTCAGATGTTTTATTATAGGAATTTCTCGAAGGAAAGGAACACTATTGTTCCTCCCTCGTAAAAACGTTCCGATGTGGGACGATGTGACGGAATCAAAGAACGTTTTCTTATCGTCGTCTCTCCCCTTCCCTCAATCTCTCCTCGGACTTTTAGTCAGAAAAGTATTCTCGACTTAAAAATCATCATACCGAAATATGCCGTTCGAGAGATTAAAAAACACGATGTCTACAAAGGTATCAAAAAACAATTGGCACGTTCATAATAAAAATGTGTGTCTTGGCAGAGGTGTGTGTGTGTGTCTGTGTGTTCGTCTGTATACAGGCGTGTAAACCGCAGTCAATTAATTAATCAATTAATTAATGAAACGTCAGATTCGCCGAACAGACGTAATTCATCATCTTGGATTGACACGGCTTGGCTCCGATTTCGAAACGGAATCGCGTGATTATTATTATTATTATCTTCGTTTTTCATAAGTCCTTCTTCATACGGCGAAATGTAAACCGATGAGATCAGCAAGTTCCATTGGTAGCGACTTTAATAAAAGAATCAATCACGTTCTTCGCGATCGATGTACCGCAACCCATCGTAGCGTATTACTTATTTACGTAGTTTGTAGAATATTTATAATAAATTTGAAATCGCTTTTCTTTCGTTCAATATTGACGAGTTAATTTTAGGATTGTCTCGATAACTTGCTGTCCTCGGTGCTCGTGCGCAGTCCAGAATCAATTCCTTTTTCTATCATCTCCTTGCGACGATTTCTCGATCGCTTCAGTTTTACTTCACCTCCGTCAAATGTTTCTCTCCAACGCACGCAACAACGAAACACCTCGTGATTTATTTAATTCGCTTAATATCATAATTCAGCGATTCTTAAATCAGTTCGTTAACAGAATATTAACATATATGTATATCGTTTCTTCTTTCGCTGGCCGTTTCTTTTAGAGGAATTTCTCCAACAGCTCTTCTATTCACGACGATCAACGTGCGATTCAACAATTTCACGCTCTCTCAGATCTCACAATGTCTCTTCTCGTTTCAAACTCTTCAAGAGTGTTGTCGCGCGAACACCATCATTATTAATTAAATAGAATCTGTGATTAGGATCAAATTATAACATTCTGGCACTCCCTCCTCCCTCGGGAAAGAACCTGTTTCCCGAGCAATAAATATATTATATATTCTTTGTATATATGTATATGTATAGATACATATACGTCACTGATCTCTATGGAACACTGGTTAGCGGATGTGAAATTGAGTACCACAGACTAGGTAGCCAACCATACCAATTCACTGTCCAGTGTTCTATAGAGACTAGTGAGATACGTATATTCGTTTAACTATGTCACTATCGTAATATGAAAAATCTCGTGTTCCTTGAAGACGATATATCGATCAGGATTATCACAACGGTTGATAAGTTCGCGTCCTAGGGTTTGCAGCTGGTCTAACAAGAGTTCAAACTAATTCTGTGTCGTGTATATAATAATATATGTATACCGTATAATATATATATATATAATTATATATATATAATATCTTGTAACTCTTTTTGTTTGTAACTAATGTG